CCTCCTACGTGTGTTGTTGAGTCCTCCAATGTCTGTAGAGTCCACTTATGAGTGTCGCTGAGTCCTCCAGTGTCCTTTTGAGTCCTCCTAGGGCTGTTATTGAGTCCTCCAACAGGCGTCGCTGAGTCCTCCAGCGTCCTTTGAGTCCTCCTACATGTGTTGTTGAGTCCTCCCACGGGTGTTGTTGAGTCCTCCAATGTCTGTTGAGTCCTCCTACGTGTGTTGTTGAGTCCTCCAATGCCTGTAGAGTCCACTTACGAGTATCCCTGAGTCCTCTAGTGTCCTTTTGAGTCCTCCTAGGGCTGTTATTGAGTCCTCCAACGGGCGTCGCTGAGTCCTCCAATGCCTGTAGAGTCCTCCTATGGGTGTCGCTGAGTCCTCCAGCGTCCTTTTGATTCCTCCCACGTGTGTTGTTGAGTCCTCCAATGGCTGTAGAGTCCACTTACGAGTATCCCTGAGTCCTCCAGCGTCCTTTTGAGTCCTCTGCCGGGTGTTGTCGAGTCCTCCAGCACCAGACGAGTCCTCCAACAACCATCCCAGTCCTCCTGTCATCCCAGGTACCGCCGCCGTCGCCTTGGCAGGTCTTTTAGCAGCCCAGAAAACAACGGGAAAACCTTTAACAGAACACCAACTTTTATTTCTCGGGGCCGGAGAGGTGAGATCCGATTGTACCAATCATTTGAGATGCACGTAGAGGGTTGTCAAGTCCTCCAAGGAATGGCGACGGGGTGAAAAATCGGGTTGTTTTCACCCCCCACCAGGCAGCGTTGGGCATTGCAAACCTCATTGTTATGGCCATGGTGGAGAACGGGGTTCAAATCGACGAGGCGCGTCGGAGGATTTGGATGTATGACAAGCACGGGTTGGTCCTCCAGGTACAACCATCCCGAAACAACACCTTGATTCATCCTATGGCGGGGTGGAGGGGGGTCTTTGAGGCTTTCTGGGGGTGTTGAGTCGTCCTGTGGGTGTTGAGTCGTCCTGTGGGGTCTTTGAGGCTTTCTGGGGGTGTTGAGTCGTCCTGTGGGTGTTGAGTCCTCCTATGGGGGTTGTTGAACCCTCCTATGGGTGTTGAGTCCTCCTATGCGGGTCATTGGATCCTCCTACGGGTGTTGAGTCCTCCAGCGGGGGTTGTTGAGCCCTCCTATGGGTGTTGAGTCCTCCTATGGGGGTCATTAGATCCTCCTATGGGTGTTGAGTCCTCCACCGGTGGTCATTTGGTCCTCCAACGGGTTTTGAGTCCTCCTATGGGGGTTGTTGGGTCCTCCTATGGGTGTTGAGTCCTCCTATGCGGGTCAT